TGAAGCAAACCTTTTGTCTCTTATCCAAGAACCATGAAAGATAATTGTGGGTATTCTGCCCTGCTGCGTCGTGCAAACACCAAGCCTTAACGCAGATTTTGAGAGGATCAATAAAATGTGCTAATGAACTCTTCTAGTTGTTAACCAATTTTTTTATCTTGAATATAGTCTATTTGATAGCTTTCTCTTTTTTCCATTCTATTCCGACGTGTGATATTAACACCATCATTTATAGATAAGCAATTTCTTAGTATTAAATAAAATTGCAAAGCTAATGGTTTTTTTTTGCATTGATATTTCGTAATGCGCTACCAAAAATTACATTTTTGAATTTATCATTTTACCAGGCTTAAACATCTAAAATGCTAATTTGCGACGTATATATAACATCAAATTAAAATTGTTTTCTGAATTATAATTTTAAATATATGATTTATTCTTTTGCAGTAAATTTTTTTTAGCTCGCATTAGTATTATCCACTCTATAAGTACTTATTGTATTTCTTATTCACCTTTAATCCAATATTACTTTAGGCGAAATACTTATTGATTTAGTTGTAAGCGTAACAACCATTCATTAATCAATTTCTGATAAATGTCAATTTAATTTCTGAGTTCAGTACTTGCTTGTCTATTGAAAGTCCTCCGCTACACTACGGATAATAAAATTTGACAAAAAAAAAAAGGGAAATTATAGGCATCTCCCGCGGGATATATATCTCCCAAAATTTCTTAAAGTTTATTTATGTTAGAATAGCGCTTAGTTTAAGGTTAAGAATAAAAGAAATATATGTAAATTGGCCCAAAGAAAATTTTTTATTAGTGCATGAAAGGAGGTTTCTTATGCGTCTTTTTGAGAAATAGATGTTTTTTTCTTCGAACTAGAGTAAATACCTGGATCCGGATTTAAAGCTTATATCCGGATTTAATTATTAGATCCGGATTTAATTGTTATATCCGGATTTAATCAATAGATCCAGATATATGTGTAATTATTATTGTTCGTCATGGAACCTGTCCCTTCCTTCGAATGAATGACTTCCATGGCCAACAATACTTTGTCTGATTAGTACAATATGGGATGGGGTCGTGAAGCAAGTTACCTGACTGTCACGTGACCAGACTTAGCATGTATTGTGTTTCCTTCTCACTTTCTTCCTTTTCTTACCTCTCTTCTTTTTCCTTTTTTTTTTTTTTCCTGTCCTCTTTCATTTCCCTATTTTTTTTTCTTTTTTGTTTTTTGTTTTTTTTTTTTTGGGTGAGTTGGGGGATCACTGGACACAATGTCGGGCAGAAAAATTCAAAAATAAGGGCCAAAGTAGATTATCTAGTCACTCAAATACTCTATTTTGGACAGTACAGGTCCATGATCTATGATTACTGGAATCCAGTGACTCACAATAATATCCGCTTTGTGACTTCATTCACAAGTGGATCATTATTATTGTTCATTATGAAACCTGTCCCTTCCTTCAAATAAATAACTTCTATGGCCAACAATACTTTGTTTGATTAGTACACTGGTGATCATAAATAATGCAGCAAAAAATAAAAATTGTTAGATCGTATTATCTCACGCAATTCGGGACCGACCTTCATTTTTTTTTATTATTATGTTTGTAAATAGTATTTCT